TTTTTTTTTTCATTTTATGTTTGAGAGGTTTTTTTTTTATTAAATATTAATTACAAACTTGTAGTGAAGATTTGAATGTTCAATAGAAATAGAAAAAGTAAGAATGTCTTAACTTATTAAGTTAGGTTGAGATAAAATATATTTAAAGTAATAGATAAATTATAAAGAATTTTTTTTATAATTATTTTGGAGTTCTAAAAGTTTTTTTTTTCTTCTTTAAATAGTTGTAAAAGTGTTCTAAGAAAAACACATTGGGAAATGAAAAATTATTGGTAATTTAAGTTTGTTTTGGAAAACAGAAAATTGGGGGCATGCATAGCAGATATATATATATTTTTAAAATTTTAAAGTTATGTTTAGTTAGTAGTATTTTTCTTTGTTACCTAACCTATGAGTAATGTTCGTTGAAAATTAATAATTTAGAAAATAGTTTTCAGAAAATAAAAAATTTACAGCATGATTTAAAAAAAACGATAATATTATTTCTTAATTTTAAAAAACGTAAATGAAAACAAAAATGTTAATAAATCTAGACATGATAGAATTAAAGCTACATTCGATAACAATTTTGGTTTCAGTTCTCAATTTTTTAAGGACTAAGATTACTTATTACATATTGTTTATTTTCTTTTTCTTAATTTTATTGTTTAAAATCTTATTTTGCCTCTAATCTTTCACATATGTTCTGTTTTAGTCTCCTTGTCTTGAAAGTATCTCATTTTCATCCCATTTTTAAATGTTCTAAGCTTTGCATAAAAAAGTAATTTAGTCTTATTTAATATTTTTCTACTAATTTGTTTATTAATTATTTAACATAAATTAAATATATTTTTTGTGAAATTTACCACTTTGTGACTTTTTTGTTCAGGTTGAAATCTACTTCTTACTTGAATTAAAAAAAAAAAAAAGACCATGATGAATACAACCTTGATGATCATGGAGTGGACCTTAATCATTACCAAATGACTAATTTTTCTAATACAAAATTTATTACCTTTTTCAAGGATGTATAAACAATATATAACCAATAATTATATGTATTAAATAATTCACACCACATGGTGCTTATTATTTGGGTGTACTTTTTAAAAGGTTATCTTTTTATTTTCCTTTTCTAGATCTTACAATAAGATATCTCAATTCTACATGTCATATAGTTTTAAATTTGAATGTTCAAAGAGAGATAATATTTCTCCAAAATCTATTTTTTTTTTTTTGAAAAGAAGAAAAGATATATATGTTGTTGTCATGGAAGTTTCTTAATTACGACACTAAAGAGTTGACTTGAACAACTAGAAAATTTGACCAAAGATAAAAAACAAAAACAAAAAAAGGGATTTTTATAAAATAATAATATGGAATTGATATTGGAGTTTTGTGCAATGGTGTAAATGCAATTAGTTTTTTTTTTTTTTGGAAATGGTCTAAAAAAGAAAGGGATTTTGGTTGTTTGGGCAGAGAAAGAAACCATGTCTCTGCCAAGTTATGGCAGAACAGAATACAGTTGAAGAAATTGAAAAAAAAAAAATGAGAGAGAGAGAGGAAGAGAAAGGGCATCTGTGGAAAAATAAAATGGGAGATGTACTTTTAATATATATGGTAAGTTTGATGTGCGAGAGGAAGGTAGATCTGTTGCATTATGGCTTCAATGTGAGATGAAAACACGTGGGACCTCTCTCTTTCAAAATGTTTTTTTAGGACAACAAATAGGAGTGGGAAGACTCGAACTCATGATCGATAAGTGTCAATTATTGACGAACTAAGTTCATGTTGACAGAGAAAACTTATATGAACTTTATACCATTTTTTAAAATAACCTATATTTTACTCTTTTTTTTTTTGAGCTAGCAAAAGTAGCAAAACAACAAAATCTAAGGCTCAATCTAAGCATGTTAAGGATCTCGCATTAGATCAAGGGATTTAACAAGTTTTATAAGGTATTGGGACACTTCTCTTGTTGCTAATTAGTTTTGAGATGAAACTCATCTATTGTTGAGACGTTATTAGAACCTTATAAACTCAAACGAGCATCTGGTGTAAAAAAAATAAAAATGGGATTCAACCAAGATTGACTGGTGAGCCTAAAAGAGCTACAATGTTCCATTCATTACTAATTGATTTTGAGATGAAACTTCATGTCTATTAATATATCTGAAAATGTGGAAGGATTGGTAATATTAGAATAACTAAAAATCTTTGATCTTCAAGTATGGATCTATGGATAACTATGCCATGACTCATCTCAATAAAATTTTAACCCGTCTAAAATTTTTGTGACTATTTTTTAGAAAAAGAAAAGAACAAATAGATCTTGTAGGATTCTCGTAAATTCTTCGTCGCTCTTTTTGTTTCGTGAATAGCAATAACATTTAGGAATGTCCCAAATAAAGCATTTAGGTTTGATTTGAGAGTCTAAGAGATCTCTTGCTTGAGCATCTATGATTGAAGTGGGCATTGTTAGCGAATTAGTGTTCAAAAATAAAAAGTTTGTCTTTTGAGGTAAAAAATTTTAAAAACAAAGTTTTGTTTATATAAAATAAAACATTAAAAAAAAAAATGCTGTCTAAGTCGAATGTGTTTACATATTACCATCTGTGAAACTTGAATAAAATGTGTTGTTTTTCAATTAGTATGTTAAAAAATAAATTAAAATACATTCAAGAATCCTTTTAAAAGTAAGTAAATTTTAAAAGATAATACAGTTTTTAAAAATCAGTTTACAAAATAGGTTTGATCAATTTTTTTTTTTAATTTTAAATTAAGCAACATGTTGTAGTGGGAATTTTAACCATTTGAACTATATTCGATTAACGATTTGAAAATAACATTTCAACCATACATTTAAACCACTTTACATTTCTGTGTCAAAATATGATGCAACTTATTTATTGATTTTATATCACATTAAAAGATCTAATATAAAATTTAATAAAAGTTTGATAACTAAAATTGAGAATACCAAAGATACCATTGGTAATGTATTTCTAATTTTTATTTTTTTATTTATCTATATCTGTTGTTTTTTTTTTTATGAATGAAAATAGAACTGCACTGAGTAACTATTATTTATTTATTTATTTTTATAAAAAAAGAAGAGGATATATTTTTTTTGTGTGACAATGTATTGTTTCTCGTTGTTTAAAATTTTAAACTAAAGTTATTAATTTTTATATGACATTTAATCTTTTAATTAAATATTCAAAATTTTATGTTATATTTTTTACTTATTTTATAGGTCAATAATGATACAATAAAGTTTTTCTTTATCGAGAACCATAAATAAGAAATTTGATTTTGTTGTTTCCAAATTTCTTTTCCAAAATTTTTACACAATTTTGAAAATGTTTCTTAAAAAAGAGAAATGATAAACAAGAATGGTAAGCAAACCCTCATGCTTCTCAAAAATTGAAAATGAGAAACAAAAAATAAGAAACAAGATTTCTTGATCTGATATATATGTCTAATTGAATAATGTTCAGGTTGGCAATAAAAAACCCTTTTAATTTGAGATATCAAAATGAAGAATTAAGATTTTATGGTAAAATAATATTTGTGAGAGAAATTTCTATTTACATATCTTCTAAAGAGATTGATTATTTTTTGAAGCCATGATTTGTTTTCCACTTTTTCTATTCTCTTTTCTTTTTCCTTTTTCTTTATTAATTTTACTTTTGAAAAAAAATGTAAATATATATAATATAAAGTATGAAAGAACAATGTCATCGAAGTCATTTATTTATATAGTACTTGAATATTTATTCTAGAAAATAGGAAATTATTATTAGAACAATTTAAATCAAATCCATACTTTTGTAAATGTTTGAAAGTTTTTAAAAAATAATTTTAATAAAACGAAAACAAATAAAAAAATAAATTATAAATTTTGAAACATTGCATGGATTTTATAAAAGGCGGAATTTTATTTTCTAGGATTCTTCCTCCTTTTTTTTGGTGGAAAGAACCAAACAATAATTTCTCTCTTTACAGATTTTTTTTTCCTTTTAAAACTGAATCTTTTCCCTGATTTGTCATTGCATTTTGATGATTCTATGACCATCAAAGCCACTCCCACTCAAAGAATCACTTTTCCATAATATTTCAAATAATAATTGTTCATTGGATTCTAATTAAATTGTGTCATCTAATCCTTTTGATTAAGATCGTATGCTTTTGATGATACAATTAGAGTCCAAACTATAATCATTTTGTTCATTTTTCTTTTTATAATAAATTTGTTTGGAGATCATTACAAAAAAAGAAAAAGAGAGAATGTTTGGAGATTGTTCTTTACCTCTATTCCTTACAAAATAATATTTTATTTTATTATAGCTAACTTGAAAAAAAAAACTTACAAATATTTCTAAACGATAGAATGCTCAAAAACAACTATTATATGACCAATCCATTTTAGAAGAACACAAATGAAAGT